CGTCAAATAGAACTGCCCGGTAAACCGTAGGCAGAGAGGGAGAAGAGGACGATATATATATATATATTGACGATATATATATATATATATATAACATTTCCTCATTGTACACATCCCTATCACCCAGATATTCGTTGTCCCTTTTGTGCTCAAGGACGCTATCAGGACTGCATGATGCCGCACTGTGATGAACGTCCTGCTGTTTTTTTGACATGTGGACAGCATGTCCTTTGTCAGGACTGTTCTAATGGGATGGTCCGTGCTAGCCGTCCTGCTGAATGCTGTGCTGAAGTAGCTCTCCTTGGGTATCCTTGTGAACATCCACGTCATCCTCAGTGTGCCTGTCCTATCTGCCGGAGTGGGGGCTCCTCTTCCTGATTGGTTAATAGAATCAAGCGATCAGGAGCAACACTACTTGTACGACAGATAAAGCGTTCGATACTATCAACAGATGTGGAGTTAAAGAAAGAAGAAAGAAAAAATTGAAACAAAAAGAAAAAAAGAAAGAAAGAAAAGAAGTACAAATTTCTGGAGAAAAGAAAAAAGAAAGAAAAAAAGAAAAACAATTGTTGAACTTTGTAGTGACAGTGGCAATTGGTTTATCTGTGGGATGTGGCATTTGCTTTCTTCCTTTGTCGTGAGGTCTGGTTTCCTCCTCCTTTTCTTTACCTATCTGCCTTTTGGCTGCGTGCAAGTGGGTCCTTGTGACACACGGGGATGGGGCAGCCAGCGCTCAACCTGTCATCCACGTGGCTGGCCTTGTATGTAAGAGGTGATGAACAGGTGGGGCTTTCCTTCCTTCCCTCTTTTCCTTTCCTTGTTTTGCTTTTTTTCACCTTCGCGCTCTGATTCAGTGTGACAATATATACTCTTCTGCCTCTCTGCCTACGGTTTACCGGGCACCTCTGTTTGACGATATATATATGACGATATATAGATACGGCATATGTAGCGCTCAGCCTCCTGATGAGTCTGTGAAACTCCGACGAAACAGTTTGTCACAGCCCCTCGTTTGTTGTCCTCTTCTCCCTCTCTGGTTTACCGGGCAGCTCTGTTTGACTATATATATAATATATATGTATACCTCTGAGGGTTTGTTGTTAAACCAGCAGTACTTGGCCCATACATCGGCGGCGGGGCGTTGCTGTTAATGGCCCGCAACTGTCGGGCTTCTTCCGGGTACCGGACCACAATGGCTGGAAGCGCTAGCCAAAGAAAAATTGAAACAGTACCTCGTTGCGCCAGCAAAAATTGGCGCGCAAGGGCATTCCAGACTCGGCATCGATAGCTGGGCCCAGTACTGGCCAGTATACGGCCTATGACCGCTGGACGGCTCCGTGACTTTTGGGGGTCCGGGCCGCTCCACATGCCGGTTGATGAAATTCATCAACGGCGGCCCCAAACCTCTGAGGGTCGCGGCACATTAAACCACCAGTACCTCGCTCAGCTATATAGTCCGAAGCTCGGACTACCGGTAGCCCGATGATTCCCGAGCCTCGGACTTTATGGCCGAGCCTCTGACAGCCGGTAGGACATCACAGAAACAAACAAACAAACAAAAAAAAAAAAAAAAAAAAAAAAAAAAAAAAAAAAAAAAAAAAAAAAAAAAAAAAAAAAACAAACATTACATTCAATGTTCAGCAAAAAAAAAAGAAAAAAAGAAAGGAAATCAGACGTGCCCTATGAGAATGAATCTTCCTTGACAAAGAGGAAGATTCATTCTCGTAGAGGTTCACACACAGAGAGAGAGAGAGAGAGAGAGAGAGAGAGAGAGAGAGAGAATGGGCCTCGATGCACTACTCTCCAAAAGTGCAAAATGAGAATGAATCTTCTGCAAGAACATGGAAAGATGCGCCGGCATATTTTTTGTCTTTTGTGCATGTGGAGAGTCGAGTAGAATGTGAACGTTGAGTCTCTCTCTCTCTCTCTCTCACACACACACACACAAACGCGGATGAATCTTCCGCGTTATCGCGGAAGATTCATCCGCGTTTGTGAGCGAGAGAGAGAGAGAGAGAGAGAGAGAGAGAGAGAGAGAGAGAGAGAGAGAG